CTTTGATCAAGATTACATTACAAGAAAAGAGACCCTACTCAGAAGAACAAAAAACAATAACAAAAGAAAAGGAAACAAAAGAGGAAAAATGAGAGGAACAAGTTGCAGACACAAAGCTTAGATGTATATATAAGAAGGTAGAAGCTAAGAAGACAAAAACAGGCAGAGAAGAGGGAAAAACTTGGTAATGTGAAGGTTAGTGTTAGAGTAGGGGAAAGTAATAAACAGAGGATTTTGGCAAACAAACTCCGGCAATGAACAAAAACAAAAAGGAAGGAGATGACATATTTGGTAGGCAAAGTTTGTGATTTGTGAAAATGGGAAATTTAACAGAAAATTGGCAAATCATAAGTGCTGTTTAGGTTCATGTTTTGGATTCATATAACCTGCATATGCACGGAGATGACATATTTGGAATCTTTGTCCTAAAGCTGAGATTGGGCTTGTCCTTCAATGTAACGGCAGTTTTATAAACGCCTAATGCAAAATAATATTTAACTAAGGACTCATTTTGATTAATATTTTTTAGAATCACTTTGACCCGAAAAAGATATATAAACACTTTAGTCATTATGTTTTTGTCGCAATCGTTTTGGGTAGGTCCGGAATTAGTCTTCGACTTGAAAAAACGTTAGAGTCGCCACCGATCATTTAAAAATAATATTTAGGTTGATCGGACGCCATCTTACATGATTTGTGTTTTACAGAAATATATCGGATTCGGGAGTTGTTACAGCCAAGGAAGGATTAACACCCTTGAACTGCCCTTTGATACCGTTTTAATTTGTGGTTGTCTTAATTGCGAAAATTAAAATTAAAATTAAAAACTCAATTCAACTAATTACTTTGATCGATTGAAAGTATCCATAAAAAATTAAATTAATATTAAAAGATAAAATAAAATAAAAGAAACAAAAAGGATGTAAAAAATTGATTTATTAAAAGGGCTAATAAAATAATAATGAAAACGAAATAAAATAAAGAGTAAAAAAATCCAAATTAAAGGATCAAATTGAAATGATCTAAACATAAAAGGCTAAATCGACATTAATTATGGGCTACAAGAAGAAAAATAAGAAGTTAGAAGGTTAATTTGTAAAATATAAAAAATAAAACATGGATGAAATGAAAATTAGAAATTCAATGGTATATTCACAACAGGTGATCAAAACGAATTACACTTCAAACTTATAGGGAATGCGAAAAAAAATTTAACTATTGGGTAATTACAAAGTGGTTCCTCGATTATAAATACACCAAACCCAAAAAAATAACATTTTCAACCATTTCCAAAAAAAAAATCCCAAAAACCTCTCAAACACTCTCTGTTCCCCTTAACCGGCCCAAATGGTCGGCCACTACTCCGACGAAGCCCCATCGCGCCGACCGCCGCTCCGGCCACCGCCTCCGGTGGTCGAAAAAATCAAACTATCTTAAATCATTCTCCACGATCGCGTGATTACAAACCCAAAGCCCGATCATCCTAAATCACACCGAATCAGCGTAGATCTAAACAGAAAGGTTTCGGGTTTTACCTTTTCGTCGTTTCTTCACCGTTTCCGTTGACCGTTGGTTTGGTTGTTTCCTTGTGGTTGTGTGTTTTTTTGAAGCTTTCTTGCTTTGTATTTTGAAATTTGCTTGATCTTTACTGGTGACTTTCGTGCGCTTGTTGTGTTGTTTTTTTTTTGTATATTGGTTGAGTATTTTGGCTCCGTTTACTTGTTGATGTCTCCCTTGTGGTTTGATCTTGTATTTTCGGTGCTTGATGTTTACCGATCGTTGGTTCTTGCTTGGCCTCACCGGGGGCTTTTTATAGCCCTTGTTTTGGCCGTTTTGGGTCCCAAACGGGACATGATTCATGGGTCGTTTGTGTGGTTATGGGTTAACCGAAAACCCCGGGATGGTGCAATCCCGGGTTCTTCGGTCGGATGTCTCGGTTGGCCGTTTCGCGTACTTGGTTATTGACCTTTCTTGACTGTGTAGCGCACTCCTGCTAGACATGAAACCCTAATCGGGTTAGGGTTGGGTCAGGCCCAAACCGATTGGGCTCTTTGCTGGATTGAACAGACTCTTGGACCCTTACAAAAAATAAAGATAATAAATAAAAATAGAAAAAATAAAAATAAAGAAATAATAATAATAATAATAATAAAAGTATACTAATATTATATATATTTAAAACGTTTTAAAAAAAGTTTTTTTAAATTATATATATATGTTTCAAAAATGTTTTTAAAACTATATATTATATATTTTAAAAAATGTTTTCAAAACTATATATTATATATGTTTTTGAGTTTTTCAAAATGTTTTCAAAAACTATATATTATATAAGTTTTCAGAAATGATTTCAAAACTATATATATATGTTTTCAAATGTTTCCAAAAATATATATATATTTTCAAAATGTTTTCAAAAACTATATATTATATAATATTTTCAATTGTTTTCAAAACTATATATTATGTATGTTTTAAAAAAATTCAAAAGCTATATATATATATATTTCAAAAACGATTTTTTTTAAAAACTATATGTTTCAAAAAAAACAAAAAAATTCTTTCAAAAACTATACGATATTATTATATATATATAAATATATAAAAATCTCCATAAGAAAATGAGTGTCTACATCTAGCATTCTTTGTCTTTTTTCATGTAACGTAAAATAGGACAAAGATAGAAGGACACAAATTTTCGTTCGGTATGAAGAGGTCTCTGAGTCTAATATCCTCCCTTGTGGAGTTGAAAATCGACTCTGATATTGCAATTAGGAATAACTCCCTGTTAAATTGAGTTGCGGAAGACTCCTCTGTCGCGAATCTGAGTCAGCCTTGAAATGATATCCTTCTTCATGAAATTGAAATCGCAGTTCGAAATTTGAATCGGAATGTGACTTCTTATTGCCAAATCGTAGTCAACCTTGGTATTTTCCTCGGTTTAAAGACCTTGGTTTGAAAATTCGACTGGAAAGTAGTTCCTCGACACTACCATGTGGTTGATAGGCCCTCGAGCTGAATGGAATCGAACTCGAAAGTTTTCGTTGACAGATAACCCTTATTGCCTTGAGTTATATTGTACTAAGCAGAGAGATTGCCTCAGATCTTCCTCTTAACTTAAAGACTTCAGTTTAAACTTCAACCGGAAAGTAGTTTCTCATTGTCGTTGAGCTGAATGAAATCAAACTCGAAGGTTTTTGTTAACAGATAGCCCTTCTCGCCTTGAGTTATGCTGTAAATTTGATATGCCCTTGAGCTGAATGAAATCGAACTCGAAGGATTTTGTTGACCGATAGCCCTTCTCACCTTGAGTTATACTGTAAATTTGATATGCCCTTGAGCTGAATAGAATCGAACTCGAAGGTTTTATTAATAGATATCCCTTCTCGCCTTGAGCTATACTGTAAATTTGATATGCCCTTGAGCTGAATGTAATCAAACTCGAAGGTTTTTACTGACAAATAGCCCTTCTCGTCTTGAGCTATGTTGTAAATTTGATATGCCCCTAAGCTGAATGTAATCGAACTCAAAGGTTTTTGCTGACATATAACCCTTCTCTCCTTGAGCTATGCTGTAAATTTGATATGCCCTTGAGCTGAATGTAATCAAACTCAAAGGTTTTTGTTGACAGATAGCCCTTCTCTTCTTGAGCTATACTGTAAATTTGATATGCCCTTGAGCTAAATGGAATCGAACTCGAAGGTTTTTGTTGACAGATATCCCTTCTTACCTTGAGTTATGCTGTAAATTTGATATGCCCTTGAGATGAATGTAATCGAACTCGTAGGTTTTTGTTGACATATAGCTTTTCTCGACTTAAGCTATATTGTAATAGGCTGGGAGATAACCCCCTATTGTTGCAGATGACTCATTTGCTGTGAAACTAAGGCAATCCACTTGGGCACGATATTCTTCGTCGTGAAGTTGAAATCGTGGATGACTCTTTCGTTGTGAAGTTGAGCTTTGAATTGGATGTCCTTCGTTGTGAAGTTGAAATTCAAAATTGCCACTACAGCAAAATGGGTTAATACGACATTTGTAGCGGCATTTCTAGAACAAACGCCGGTAAAGACTCGTACTATAGCGGCGTTTTATACAAACGGCGCTAAAGACTAATTTAGTGGCGTTTTTGTACAAATGACGCTATAATACGAGTCTTTACCGGCGTTTTTTATACAAACGCCGCTAAATAATTTACTTTAGTGGCGTTTTTATACAAACGCCACGAAAAACTGTAATTTACTGGCGTTTATAGAACAAACGCCGCTATAGACTCGTGATTTAGTGGCGTTTTTATACAAACGCCGCTATAGTACGAGTCTTTAGCGGCGTTTTTTATACAAACACCGCTAAATACTGGTACTATAGTGGCGTTTTATATAAATGCCTCAAAATAATGTACTTTAGTGGCGTTTTAAGCACAAACACCACTAAATACTCGTACTATAAAACAACATTTTATAATTAGATTATTATTTTATAAATTCTAATAAAGTAAAGAACTTAACAAAATAGTGTTGTATAAAATCGAATTATTTGTATACTTCGTGATAAAATAAATTAGAATAAAATATATTTTTTTAAATATTTAAACAATAGATCAATCAATGATACTGTAAAGAAAAAAAAGGTAAAAGGTGAAAAAAACTCCAAAATTAGCGAGGAGAGTGTGATGTGAATCAGACATTTCTATTGTCGCGTCGATGACTAAAATCCATTCCACGGAGCCCAGCGAAATTCAATGTCAGATATCAAACCACCCTTTCGGAGATGGAAAATGATTCTAATTATCTATTTCCATCGACTCACGAAAACAGAATTATGATTTCTTAGATATCTTCCCCCGTTTTGTTTATTTCGTTTACCTAACCCTAGCTTTTCTGTTAATTATAATAGTAATTTGTTTTTGCCTTAAAACAAAGACGGAAAGTTAGATCTTTTATATTCTTCTTCTTTTGTTGAATTTTTGAAATTCTTTACGTGATTAAAATTTTCTGTGTTTGAATTGTAGGAGCGGTTGACTGGGTGTTTACTGTATAGTGTCTCCATATATTTTCCTCCTTTTTTGGGGGAAGTTTTCCGAATTAAGGTTTCAAGTTTTAGTTAGGGCTTGGAATTGATGGAGCCTCGTGTCGGTAATAAGTTCGACTTGGTCGTAAGATCGGTAGCGGCTCTTTTGGAGTGATCTATTTGGGTTTGTTGCATAATCCCCTACCCCTGGTTTTGGGTATGATTTTGAATATAGGTTGATATATAGGAGTATTTTATATTTGCAGGTACGAATATTCTGACAAATGAAGAGGTTGCCATTAAGCTTGTAAGTAGCCTTTGCAAATTCACTTCTTTTTTATTTGTTCAGTTTATTGCATATTAGCATTCTATAAAACAGCAATGTAGTTGATATTCTGGCTAGGTTTTAATCCGAGTGAATGCTCATTAGATTTCTTGCTTTAACTTGATCGTTTATAACTTAGAAATGCACTATGGTCATAGGTTATATTGAAGCAATAAACTGTAGAAGTATGTAGTTGAGGTTAAAATGTACCATGATGGATAAAATTATAATATTCTGGTAAAGTATTATATAGCAAAGCAAATGTTTGGAGCCCTTGACATGTTGGATTACTTTTTTGGTTTTTCACTTCACTTGGTGTTATTTTGTTATAGTTTTGATTCACATTAAATTAACGATGATCATAGTTTGTGGTCTACTCCCTTAACAAAAAAGAGAGAAAACAGAGAAGAAAACTGTTAGTTACAGTTTAACTTTGTAGGATTTTCGTATATTACCCCAAGGAGGATTGAATTCGTTCGTAAATGTAAATTTCTTATTTTCTAATTGTTGGCTGGCATCATAGCAGACAAGAAGAAGATGCTTTGGGTGGTTATCTCCAGAGATAAATATGGTTAAAGGGGGTTACTTACGTTACAACTTTGATTACCTATTTACCATTGTATATATGCTATTCTCATTACTCTCCGACACATCGTTAGAATTCTTTAATCAATCAGTGATACTTAATAAGCTTTTTAGAGTTATCTTCAATCTGGCTGACATAAATACATAATTAATAATTTTATTTTATGCTTGAATCATTGTTTTGATTTTATTACTTAAAAGCTTTGGCATTCTATAAAACATAGCTTGCTTATTTTAAATTTAATAATAGTTTTCTCTTTTGTTGTAGTTCTTTTATTCCATATTAAATTCTTTATGTTACATAAGGAAGTGGATGACTTTTTTCTTTAATGATCAGGAGAACGTGAAGACAAAGCATCCTCAATTGTTATATGAATCGAAGTTATACAGAATCCTGCAGGGAGGAAGTAATGATACTTACAGTTTCTTTTTTCTTCTTAGACAATATAGCTCTTGTTTCAACCTTTATTCGTTCTTTGTATTTCATATCACTTATCCTTTTTCTTGGCAGCCAGGATTCTAAATATAAGATGGTTTGGAGTAGAGGGAGATTATAATGTTATGGTTATGGATTTGCTTGGACCTTACACTGTAAATATTGTGGCATCATTTCAGACTAGCTGTTACATATCAGGAATTGCTCTTTTTGGTGATTCTTTGGTTGTTCTAGCCTATATTCTTGGTGAAGAAGATGGAGAAAAGGAATTTAGTTGCACAATACCTTCAAGACAGGTATGCGTCCTTTACAGTTCTGAAAAGCTAACTTCCTTGTCATGGTGTACACCCCCTATTTTGAGGCTTTTGTGCTATCATTAGTGCATTATCTGTTTCTGTTCCTGCAAGTTTACCAATTTATCTTTATGATGTGACTCCATTCTTGACAGAAGCCACGACAATGGTTACTGTAACTACTCTACATTGTTGCTCTGCTTTGAACTTTTAGGTTGTACTTATATTAAGAAATCTAATTTGGAATTCTTTTTCAATAGGCTGCTTATGCTTCTATATACGTTCTATTGATCCTGAGTTTAATAGTTGGTGGAGTGGATTGTAGAATCGAATGCATTAGCTAATAATGTTTTCTCAGGAGTTTGATAAACCGCTGTTGTTATAAACTTATAATTCTCATTGCCTATGCATAATCTACTGTAGCAGGGAAATGCACAGAGACCAGAGGTTCGCATTGTGTCTTGGAACAATGATGAATTAGAAACTGATGCCCTACCAGTACATGGCTTTGAGCACTATAAAGCAATGGATTATTCATTGGCACATGCTCCCTTCTCAGGTTGATATCTCCGTTCTTGAAGTTATTGGTTATTAGACAGAATTTCAGTGAAAAGTTATAGTGCTCTTCTCATATGAATGTAGGCAGCAGTTATGCCGGTGGATAGTGGGCTGCCGGTGATGAACCAATATACTATATTGTATCACCAAAGGATGTTGTCATAGCGAAACCTAGGTTACTTCCGATTCTTTATATTTTTCTTTCTTCTTGAAGATTAACTTGTCTTTCATTGAGAAAATAGTAGAGTAGGAAAAGATATCTCCGTTGCTTGTTGTCTGAACCTATTCAGGATGATGCCTTAAATTTTCGTTTATTTACTTTATTAACAATGAATTTTAATACCAGAAATACTATGTGTATGGTGCAGGTTGTCCCGTTGATGATTGTAGATTGTAAACAAGCAAATAATTTGTTGCTTCAAAATCGGGAGTTAATTACACCATCTGAAGTTGTTTCACAGCTTCTGAATACTAGAAAAAGTGTGATACGACAGCCTTTTCTTAGGAACATACCCAACAGTGCACGCAAAGCTTGTTGATTTTCAAAAAGAACTTGTAAACTTGCAGGTCCTGAAATAATTAACCTTCTATTTTCCTTATGAAGTTAACTTCTTTGTATGGTACTAACACAGTTCTAGAGTTTATGCTTGTGAGTTGTTTGACTGATTTGTAATCTTTTGTATTCATCTAAGATGGTGTTATTTAATCAGTTTATTGAATGTAGGTTGTGGAGAATAATCCCAAATACTGGGAAGTTATGTCATCAACACTTGTTGTGGGTTGGCTAGATATTGTGGTATGTGTCTGACAGACTAATGTGGTTTTATAGCTTAATAAAATTATGAAAGCTTGGATGTTTCTGGACAATTATTAAGATCTATCTCTATATTTTGCTTATCATCATGAAGGTTGCCCATGCCATAGAGTTGTTGACTGCTGGGACTGATCATGCAGAAATGTGTTGTTAACTTTTTTAACGTAAGATATAATGGATTTTCATATAAACTGATGATTTATTTGGATATGAAACTAGAGATCGGGTTTGCATTGCCATGGATGAGGCCTTTTCAAGTGGCATGCCAATTGGAGTAAGACCTCATGAAGCAAAATATCTGTGCAAGAAATGACAGGACGATACTAGCTCTACATCATTGTTTTCCCATATAAACTGGATTTATCTCTTTGAATTTAAGCGCCTCATTGTGACGAAGAGTTTTGAAGAATGTGTAAGATTAGAAACAAAATATCTTAGATATTATTGTTTATTATAGTTAATAATGTTGAACTACATTATATTTTACGTTAATGTAAACTTTGATTTATTATTATGGATTTCATTTTTCTTGTTATGGATTTTAAGTTTGTTGTTATGGATGTCAAGTTTATTGGAAAATGCTATAGGTTAAATTTGGGTAATAAAAGAGTAGAAAACAACATTTAACAAATTAGTTTTAATTTGCAAAATCAATTTCTTATATAGAGGTAATTAGCGGCGTTTGTATCTTAAAACGCCGCTATAGATATGACATTTTGCGGCGTTTGTTATAAAAAACGTCGCTATATACCAGATCTTTTACGGTGTTTGTGGGAAAAACGCCGCTAAATCTCAAGACCTATTGCGGCGTTTGTGGGAAAAACGCCGCTAAATCTCAAAATCTATTGCGGCATTTGTGGGAAAAACGCCGCTAAATCTCAAAACCTATTGCGGCATTTGTGGGAAAAATGCCGCTAAATATCAACACTTATTGCGGCGTTTGTTGGAAAAATACTGCAAATATCAACACCTATTGCGGCGTTTTTGTTACCAAACGCCGCGAACTTTAGCGACGCTATTTGCAGCGGCGCTTTTTGCGGCGTTTGTCATAGCGCCGCAGGTTTTTTTGCGGCGCTTAAAAACGCTGCTATAGGTAAAAAAAAACGCCGCAAATGTATAGTTTTACTGTAGTGTGCATTGCTTTCGAGTTTAATATCTTTCGCTGTGAAGTTGAAATTGACTCTGAATGAAACTGGTTTTTCATTGTTGTGTCATAGATGACTCCTTCGTCGTGAAGTTGGGTCAATATTTTGCGTATGATATCCTTCGTCGTGAAGTTGAAATCGTGGATGGCTCATTCGCTGTGAAGTTGAGTTTTGAGTCAGATATCCTCCTTTGTGAAGTTGAAATCCAATCTCGAGTTGCAGTGCTTCGCCAAAATAGCTTTGGGTTGGATATCCTTCGTTATGAAGTTGAAATCCAATCTTGTATAAGTTGCGTCGTTTCGAGTTTGATATCTTTCGTTGTGAATTTGAAATGTAGCTTGAACTCTAAACTGGAAAGTTGTTTGTTGACAAACAACTTTTCTCGACTTAAGTTGTGCTATAAATTTCCTCTAAATGAAGGATGGCCCCCCTTCGCGGGTCTAAGCCGATCATAATTCTTTAAATGACTCCCCTTCACGGGAAGTCCAAGTGGTAAATTCTGTCAGCCGGATATCATTCGTCGTGGAGTTGAAGTCTGACTTGAAGATGTTAACTGAAAGCTAGCCACTTGTCGTTGAGTTAAGCTGAACTGAATACGTTCTAAATTGGCTCTCGAACCCGTCTGAAGTTGATTCTAAGATATGTCGATCTTTCAATTGGTCAAATTGGTTGAGGTGTAGCTCCTCATTGTTGAGTTAAGAAACCACCATCAATCTTTTTTTGAAGGTGCTTTTGAATCAAGTATATTTCATCTTGAAGTTGAAACTTGACTCTAAATCTGCAAAAAAATTATGTATACGAAAAATGATAAATGTGATGCTCTTAAGTATGTCTAAGATGTATGCAACATGAATTAGTTCTATTTTATCTCCTGGGTGGAGCCTTATTTTTGTCTGCTGGTCTTGTCCTTGGAATCGACAATGCCCTATTTTGTTCTCGGGTTGTTGTCACAAGTTGATCACTTGGACTATTTGCTTTCAAGAATGTGAAATGTCCCATTATTCTGGCATCATTTACTCTTTCTTTAATAGAGGCAAAATGAGCCTCAACAGCTTCAATGACCTTTCACATTTGAGACTGTCCTGTTTGAAATTTTTTCTCATTTCTTTTATTTTAGGAAAAAAAGAATATAAGAAAATGAGAATTTTGTAAAACATTTCCCCTTAATTCAGGCTCACAATCAAATCAAATCATAAACATGGGTTCATAGAAAATCAAAAGAATCAATAGCTCTTTAATGCTTTTAGAGTTATAGCTCTTTGAGAAATATCCAAATTGGTGAGTTGGCTTCAATTTGGCCTCCTATTTTCTAAGGTTTCGGCCACCAATATGTCATTTTTTCTCGGTCCTGTTGAACATTGTAACATGCCCCTCTTGCTTGGCTTGGTATTTTAATCGGATGCGGACAAAATGACGCAACTAGCATAATCAACTACTAGATCTTCTATTACGGTTCTCTGAAATCTTCCATTTGTTCAAGCTTCGTAGACTCCTCTAATAAAGGCAGTGTAGAAATATCGGTCTAAAAATGAAATTTCTGAGTGCTCGTGTGAAATTGACTATAACTGGTGTTCCTTAACTTCCTTAGTGCATCTTTACCGAAACTCCTTATTTAAATAAATTTGATTTAATTTTCCATTGTTTGGCTAGCTGAAACTTATCCATAAAGCTGGGACATTTAACCAATTGCTCTAGAGGGACCGCTCAAGATTATAATCACCTTTATCAGGCTAGTTGAATCTTATCCCTAAAGCCGGGGTACTTAACTAATTGCTCTAGAGGGATAACTCAAGCTTTATTGTATAGATATTATAATCACCTTTATCAGGCTAACTGAATCTTATCCATAAAGCTGGGCGTTTAACCAATTTCTCTAGAGGGACAACTCAAGCTTTATTGTATACATATAATATTATAATCTGGGTATACGGATCCATTTTCTTAAGTTTGTCAAGAAGTATCTGTTATAATCCAGGTGTTGTTGAAAGTCAAGCAATCTCATCTTTAGAGTTCAATTTCCAAGCAACTGACCTAAACTAGATTCACCTACTCGACTATTACATTTTTGAAGATCATCATCATCATTGAACGTCCTCAACAAAAGTATAGTAATGTCATACACAAGATATGCCCCTTGTTGTCTGCTCCTATGCATACCTAATACCAAGCCTATTGTTTATTCCCTTTGAAAGGAGAAGGCTATATCGGTCCCTGCAAGAGAAAGGTATGTTGTTCAAGTGTGTCTTATGGGGTAAAATCAAGGGTTATTATTTTACCAATTTTTAATCATGTTGCTTTGTCAAAGATCTATAACTTCGATCATTTACAAAGTTTTTTAATTCAGTTGATATTCAAAGAATTTAAATTTGATTCGATGCTCAACATAAATTCATTTAAATATCCTTGCAAAAACAAATATGAGAAAGTTCAAAAAACAAGTTACAAAAAGATACATGAGAAAGTTCAAAAAACAAGTTCGAACAGGATGCTGCAAAATGGAATAAAGCCTCATTAGGATGCCCCATTGTTTCTAGAATGTTGAGTGTCTAATTGGATTAGGACCTTTATCTACACTTTCTACCCATTTCTCAATCGCTTCACTTGCCAGGGCTCTTTTTGATGTACCCTCAAACGCACAAATTTATCCTTCCTCTTGAGCAGCTTCTTGGTAAAATCCCACTTCCATAATATTCATCAGCTTTTCCTTTCCTAGTTGGAAATTGGGCCCAAATTTAGATCCAAAACGATGTTCCTTGGTGGTGATAGTTTTGGTCGGATCCTGAACGCATATTACAGCTGTGATTGTCGTAATATTTGTTAGGCCTTATAAGCTACCCAAAACCCCCTTGCCTTCAAGAAATCTGATATAGGTGTTTAAGGTGTCTTCAAGGCTACATCTGCCTCATTCATTCTTAAACTAACGGGCCTACCTCGGATTACATTCATGGAAGCTCTTTTTCTTGGATTTCATTTCCTATCCTCTTGCACCTTATGTTCTTCACAGGAATTGCCTATATTAATCTCTAGTGAAGCAACGACTTCCAAGTTTTAGACCTTAACCCCTTTCTCTTATACTTTGCACCCTTGAATTGCTTGCTCTAGAGGATCCTGAAGGTTGCTAAGAACCTTAATTGAACAATATGAGGTTTCATTCTGGTTTATCCAAGGAATCTCATTATAGGTCAACTTCTCATTCAGAGACCACTGTGGATGGACATATCCCGATGTAACAAATCCGACTGTGAGCATTTTTTAATGTAGTTTTTCAAGCGAAACATGGAAGGGAGGGAACCGAAAACCCTGCACTTTCTTTTTCTTCTCATCTAATCCCCATAACGAGAGACTACTTGATGATGGCTTTATAGATAAAAACTTGATTGTCTTTATTGTATGATTGTAAAGGGTTAGGACCTCTAATCATGAGAGATTGATCCTACTTATCTTTCTTGGTCAACATTTGGTCCTCTTCTATGCACCTCTTCTTTGAGTAAAGCTTATCTCTCACAATGGAAACTTTGTCCCTCATTAGTTCTCTATTCATTGTAGGCCTAGTGGAACCTTCTACAACCACAGTTGATTTTTGGAGCTGGCCTGAAATATCCGGCTCCTTAACAGGTCCTCGATTTTCAGTTTCAACACTAGCATTCATAGACTCATCTAAAACGGGATCCACTAGTGGCTTATCTCTATGGATCACAACATTTACCATGTCTATTAATTTGGTCATTTGTTCTCTTGATTCATTCTGAAACCTTTTTTCTTGATCAATCATCTCTTGTTGGGTCTTTACGAGTTGCTCTTGACTTTTCTCAATCCTACCAACACGCGCTAGTATCTCATTCATTGATTTGGATCGTTTTACAGACACGCTTCAGGTAACTTCAATTTGCTTTCAAAGCTTCTCTTTTAATTGCATTTTCTTTGAACGAGTGTGTTCAATGCTCAGTATGTCCAATGCTCGGTGTGTCCAGTGTTTATTCCTTTTTTATGAGACATCTCTTGTTAGTTAATGTGGATGTAATGAAATAATAATAATGCGAAGTATGCATGAATGCATGAAGTTTCGAGGCACTGATCCAAAAACATGTATGTTGGGTTTAAATGTATATTATAACTAAGTCTTCTAGACCTTGAACGACTTCTAACAGGTTGACTAGTCTTCTGTCTTCCTCTGTCGTCGACTAAACACCTTGCCGGGCCACTCTGGCTTCTTTCGCCAAGTCTTGCAGGTGTTGAACTGCTCGAATGACCGCATTTCTAGCTTTCAATCTCCGCTGAGCCTGCTCC